GGAGAGGTCTGCTGCACCAAGTTGGTTAGTTCCCTGGCTGGGGGCCAAACTCGTGTTGTGGTGGCTGACAATAGCTTGATAGCACTGAGACTTTAACCCCTGTGCCACCAGGACAGCCCCTCTAGATTATTAAAAAAAAAAAAAAAAAAAACCCTAGACATTCTTGTTCAACTTTGCACAGTGGACCAAAATTAATTTTATTCTCATGTGTGAGTTAGGTGCTATGGGCTTTGAGGTCCTGTTTTGATAGAAGCAGGTGCCATGTTAGGTGCTCAAATAGGATTTCATTCTGGGGGGGGGGAGTTTGTGGTTTTTTGTCTCAAAGTGGGATCAAAGAACTGTCCTTCACATGTAGAGTTTTGTGCCATGCACATCTAAAGTGTATTTGCAGAAAAGAATAAGCTATTTTCACAAAGCCTGAAATATGTCCCCATTTTCCTGAATAATTACAACATAGAAGCTTCCTAATTATCTGAACCCTAGTGACCTTACTGAAAACATAACACCGATAGCCAACCAGGGACTCTTAACTCTTGTTAGTAAACCATGTAGATTTCATGTGTGTTGTCCTTCTTCCCCCACCTAGAAAATTCTCATAATGCTGGACTGGAAGACTTAGGGATTTTGTGTTTGTGAAGGTGGCTGCAAGTCCCTTATATACTTGTCTAACCTGAAAATCCTCAGAATTGTGTGTTGATGTGTAACTTTGGAAAGTTCTTCGAAATGTGTGCTGGGGAGAAGTTCCTGGAAAGGTGTGGGGGCCTTAAGCTTCCCTTTAGCATTTAGGATGTATGACTGTGTTACCATCAGGATGCTGAGCTTGGTGTAGAACTAACCCCTTAAAGGACACAGCCTCTTTGCCTTTTAAGCACAAAGCTGAGCATTCCATTCAGCCTTTATCAACACCTACTCTGGACGAGGTCTTCGGTAGGGATATAGATGAATGACATGCCAACCCCCATGCTCATTGTCTTGTGTTTTAGTGACTGATGAAGCCCTTGTTGGTGATCTCTGTCGTTGTTTCTGATTCTTTAGAGTGTGTCTGGTTGGTAACAACTTCAACCTCAGGTTTGCCTATTTTTCTAAAGACTGCATTTGATCATGTGGTCCTTTACAGCTTCAGATTAAGTAGCTATGAAATGTTCAGGAAGCTGGTATGAAGCCAGAACAACACATCATGGGTCACATTTACTGTATGTATCCACTTAGTGGAAATTTTGGACTTGTGGATTCTCTCATTTTTATAACTCATAGCTACTGCCCCCCTCTCCTGCCCCCCGCAGTCTTAAGGTCTTGAAATCAATTCTCTTCCTTCTAGTGTCTTTCTTGGGCTATCCTCACCAACTCTGGTAACCATTCCTTAAGTTCTGAAAGTGTGGAAATACCTGTTTAGGTATTCTGCCCCAAATAAATCTGCCCTAACTCTTAACAAGGTGACTCAAAGAATATAAACAAGAATAGGTGGAAATTTGGGGTCCCACCAAATAACAACATGTACATGTGCTGCTAACTTCTGGCATGTTTCTATGAATTGATGATTCATATCACATTCCTAATCTCCAGCTTTTCCTTAAAGGGAAACACCTTAACTAGTACCCTTTTATAAAACAGATTTCCAACCCTAGTTTTTTACATTCTTGCTGATCCTCCTTCCAGTATATCCCCCCATAGCTAAGCAGTCTATAGTTGTGCCAGACTTTCTGTTGTTTATTATAACTTCATAATGAACTTGATGTGTCATATTTGTTACTTTGTGATCAGTCTCTAGGACAGACAGGTCCAGAAGAGCCCCTCAAATATTTGTTAAACAGGTGAGTGAATTTTATCAAAGGAGCTGATGGCCCTGATGTTTCTGTGTGTCAAGGGAGGGAGTAGATGAAATTAGTAACTCACCCTGCCACTCCTTAATGAGTGAGGTAGGTCTTGAACTAATTTTACACTGGATTTTGTGGGCGATGGACTCTAACATTCCTTCTGTCTGTAACTCACAATTCTCTTTCAAAGCCCCCTCTACCAACATGCTTTTCATTCTGTTCCTTAAACTTCTGAATAAACCCTACCTTATCCTGTGGTTTCCATAGAACAGTATTGCCTCAAGAGGTTGTCAGCTGACATTACAAATGGGATATTGTGAATTGCTGATGCTTCAAGAAGTTGTGCCCTTTGCAACGTTCATGTGTTTCTTAGAGTTTGGAGGAGCAAGTAAAGATGAATTTCAGAGGAAATCACAGATGATCAAGTTGCTTCAAAATAAAAGCAATTCTGAAGCCACTTAAATGAACTGGCCCTTGGGTTTGGTAGTGACAAATGCCTTTTCCAACTTGCTTGGAATTTGCAGAATGTGGCAAAGAGCAGCAGGGGCTGCAGTGTCAGGGACTCAGTTCAGCATGGCTTTGCTCTCCACCTAGCCAGTTACCACAGGTAGTTGACCTTAGCTTCCTTGATTTTAAGAAAGAAATAGTGTCTGTCTCTCAGGGTGGTCATGAGAACCATAACTAACATAGAAACGTGCTTCATGGGCAGTAAATCCCTATCCTAAGTGAATTCTTTATCAGTCCATTAGCTTCTTTAAATGGCCAGTTATTACCCATACCAGTGGCGTTTGTCAGAAGGAGATACTTAGTAAATGTTGAGTAATACAGAAATATTTGCAAGCAACCTGTGTAACCTAGAAGGGTCTGCCTTTGCTATGAATACAACTCTCTCAAACTCTTTATTTTGGCCTTGACTTTGACAATGTGGCATTCCCTGCCACTGAATGAAGGAAGGGGTGGCTAAAGTGTGTGGGATTTGAAGGGTGGTGGGCCAGGTCAAAGGGAAGACAGAGATGTGTTCAAAGAATCCTAAAGACAAGCTATATTTCTTTTGCTTCATCCCCTGCCCCACCCCGCTGCTTTGACTTGTGCCCTGATTATAGAATCTGTGAGTCGAGCGTGAGTTGAGTGAAGTCTGTGGACTGACACTGTATTTGTGCCATCATGACTAGGTTCTTATTTTAGTCAGTTAAAGTGTAAACTGAACTTACTTATTTTGAAGAGATAGTTCTTTGTTAATCTCTCCTGATAGGAGACAATTTATCAAATGTCTTTGTGGTGGATGCTGCCTGAACCAGGAAGCCTGGATACCCTGAGGTGTCTTTTAGGAGTTTACTATTAAATGCATCCATATAGGAGGTGCAGGAGAGAGGGTGTTTTAAGTGAAGACAATCAAGGAAGACTTGGGAAGGAGTGACCCTCTACTTGAGCCTTAAAGAGAGGTAGCATTCCATTAGTTGTGGCCAATATGTTGCAATTGCAAGTTGAAGTTTCAGGTGTAGGGGGATGTGAATTTTAATTTTAAATCAAATCTTCTCTTTAGAGTTTGACAGCCCCTCAACAGCTCCCCTGGGCTTGTGGAATCTTGCTTGGCTTGTGGAGGCGACTGGGAGCAGAGGCCTAGAGACTGAGTGTTCCATGGGCTTTTGCTACATCCTGGGTGTGTTGGTAGGTGATGGTAGGTGCTTCTTGTGAATATGACCCCAGTGCTCACATTTAAAAGTCAGGGTTGTAGGTGAGCACAGGGATTCCCATTAAGGGTTTTATATTGTTCTCAAGCTTTAATGTGGTTAGAAATGGGAAACAATCTTCAGACTGAAGTTAAAATGGGAAATTGGAAGTCATGGAGTGGCTGGGGATTAATGTTAGGAAGAGTGGAGATGGAAGATTAACGGATATGTGGGCATGCCAGGTATGTTTTAAGAAAACCCAGGATAAGTAAATCATAATTTTCAAACTATGTTCATTATGATGTAATGGCTAGCTTACTTGGAAGGTAACTTTTTTGTTTAAAGATTTATTTATTTATTTATTTATACAAGCACTGGGTACAGCCAGAAGCATGGGAGGGTGAGAGAATTCACCAGAGCCAGAGCAGGAAACAGAACAGGCAGACTGACGAAGTACACTGCTGAGGGGAGCAGCGGGCGGCAGGAGAGGTCTTTCACACCATGTGGGACCCTCGCCGGGGTCCAGGGATGGAACCAGTGCTGCAGAGGCTGCGGGCAGCTTCGCAGCCCAGCGCTCAACCACTGTGCCACCAGGGGAAGCCCTGGAAGGTAACTTTTGAGCAAATATTTGAGTGCGCTCTATGTGCAAGGATCGATGATAGACACCAGGGAGAAATAAAGGTGAACCAAGCGTCCTTTCCTCTAAAGAATCCCATTTGAAGGATTCATGTCTGGCTTACAGTAGGGGCCTCTGTGATAACTGATAAACATGTGAGCCAAGTGTTGAGCAGAGGATATGGATTCTGACTTGGAATTTTGTTTGTGAAGATGTCAAAAATATACCCCAGAGACGTGGTTGAATGCTGTTGAAGATGCAGGGAGAGGAAGTGCAGTCAGAAATGGACACTGTTCTCTACAGTAAAATGTGACTGAATTAGGGAAGTTTATAATCTAGACTTGTGCTGGAAGAGTGTTGGCTTAAGTTCTCATTTGTTTATTTCTTTAACAGCAAGGCTAGCCTCTTAAAGGCTAAGATATATGTGGAGGAATTTTGTAGAGGCATCTATAAAATAAGATTTAGGTTGAATGAGAAGTCTTAATACCCTGAAGGACTGGGAAAATTGAGGTCCTTGCAAATTCTTTGTTAAACTCCAGAATTTCCAGAATGGTCCAATCTGAGCCACTGGACCAATTCTCTACAAGTTTGTAAGAAAAATTGATGCTCTAATTGACATGAGACAATTTAAATCCTGTGGCATCATGTCTATGAAATCTGGTTACTGTTCTCATTCCAGTTAGTAATTTCAGCCCATTCTTCAGTACTACATATATTTTTTGCTAAAAATAACATAATATTACAATAAATATATAAAATTGAAAGGCAGAACTCTTTCTGTGCTTCATGTTTCAATACTCCTGACTCTGAACGTTCATTGTTGAACTGCTAGTTGATTGCTTCCGGTAATTATTTGAACATTGACCTTATAAATTATGTGAATTTTATCCTCTGTTTCAGCTATCGTGGACGATGAAAGGCTCTCTGCAGAGGAGATGGATGAGAGGAGGCGACAGAATATCGCTTACGAATATTTGTGCCACCTAGAAGAAGCCAAGAGGTACGGTCCAGACTTAATCTATTTGTGCTTCTTCTCTTGAAAATAAGATATTAAAAAGAATAGTATCCCATGTCTTTATTTGCAGTTTTGTTGATAGCATGGACCTGTTGTTTTGGAAATGGTCAAGCAGAATTGAGGAAAAGTTTAGAGAGGCAGATGTCCCTTTCTCTTTCAACCTCTCAGATTATTTGAAATATTCAACCTCTCTGATTTGGATGTGGGAGAGCATCAAACACTTAACTCAACTCCTTCACCACCTTCCCTTCACAGAGCTCCCTTAGATCTTATATGCACCCCACACCAAAGATTGTCGGTGCCAGTAAAACAATAGCATATTGGGCTAAAGTCCATCGGCCACTAAACTAGAAGGTAGTTTTATGACAGTAATCTCCTTTTTAACCCATGGACGTGCAACCATTTAGGACATGTTGTCTCTCAAATCACATCAACTCCTTTAGTCATTTTAGATTAAGTAAATATTAGGTTCGCCAAGGAGAAAGTGAAGATAAAGAAAATATTTGCACTTTGGTCTCTTTATCAGAGAAATCAGGACTCTGTCCTTTCCTGGGGGAACACTGTGGTGGCCATATGCCTTGAGTTTGGTTCTCATTTAATGATTTGTGCTGTGACAGGAGCAACAATTGTTCCAGGGACAGATATGTTCCACCTCTTTTATCTGTATAGCAAAGTAACATTTTGTCAGTGGTTATTGCTGTTAATTATCTCTGATCATGGTAAATAGCTATCTACAGAGCTAGAAGAATGAGGTTTGAAAGCAGCGTTTTGTAGAAGACCATTCAGTTACACATGCACTTATTTGACCTCCAAAGTATTTAGAAAGGGATTTCTCAGGTATGTTTAATATTTTAACCATGTCTTGTAACTCTAAATTCTAAAGACTGTTTTAAAGGTCATTTAGCATGTCCGTGAAGTCTAAAGTTAGGTTGCAGGTCACAAAGACTCACTGTCAGTCCAAGATTATTAAAAATATGCTTTTAGTCAGATATTGCTTAAAAAGTTAGATAAGGAAAATGATACCATATATATTCAAAATATGCTTTCAGTGAAAAAGCTTAAGGAAAATTAGTGGAAACTTCCAACATACATCTTGTATTTGCAGATTTTGCCTCTTGTTTTTTTTTTGTAAGTGGGAAGCAGCATCACATGAGTCAGGTGTGTGATTGGGCAGCAGAGATGGTGTGTGGGGGTCAGGCTGTGGAGTTGGTAGACCAAATTTCGTGGTCCCAATTCCACCATTGAAATGAGCTGTGTGACCTCTCACCTTTAGGAGCTTCTGTTTTTGCCTCTTCAATGGGATAATAAAGATGGTATCACCACTGACCCTATTTGTTTCATGGATTTCTTTTCTAAAAATTAATTAAAATCAAGAAGGTGTAAGTATTCTGTAAACTATAGTGTCAGTCAGGTATGTGGTGATAACGTAACCATAGTTTTCTCCCCAGTCTATCAAAGTGGTGTCATTCTAGCTTGAAAACTTATCCTCTTCAGTTTTTTCAAAAGTCTGTAGTTGAATTTTATTTTAGAAAGTCAGCATCATAATTACCCCAGGTTCTTTGAAAAAAGCTTCCTTAGGAATAATTTTACTGAATCATAGACTATAAAATACATAGCTTTCCTCTGAGACTGTTTTCCTAAATTTATTTTATAAGAATAAAGTAAATGTAATAGCTATTTATGAATCTTTTATTAAGGCCTGACACTTTTTGTGACTCAAGGAAGCTGATTCTTGGTCATGGATTAAATAAAAATTATGTAATTAGTAGTTATATTAATATGTATGCTGTGATTTCAGAAAGCATATTATATAGAATTCCACTGGTTCTGAACTCAAAAAATAAAGGGGTGAATCAGTCGCAGTTCAAAAGATTATTTATTTTAGGAGATTTAGTGCATGATTTATTTTTTGTGAAGTTAATGCCTTAGGAATTTGTCATAGTGGGTTTATTATAATGCATGCATATGTGTGTGTGTGTGTGTGTGTTAGTGAAGTTCACTGAAATACTGAGTTTCTAGTAAGTGGCACACTTACAATGTGAGTTCAGCTAGGAACTCTTTGTTTCTCGTTTCATTCGAACTGATTGTGGTAGATTTTAATCGGAAATGTATTGGTTCTGCTTCTGTGCCTCTTTTTATCCTTTCCAGAGGAAAGGAAGAATATTTCAGAAGGATATCTACTATTGGATGGCCTATACGTCAACATTTTTAAAAAATTCAGAATTCTAATATTTCAACATATTCTTAATTTTGGTTTTATTAATTTCAGCAATCTGCAATAATTAATACCAGGTCATTCAAGAGTTTCTCCATTCAGAGGGAATATCATTATCAACATTACAAAATAAAAAGGACTATAAGGGAACACTCTGAATAATTGCATGCCAAGGAATTAGATAATCGAGATGAAATGAAAAAATTTCTAGAAAGACACAAACTACCAAAACTATCTCAAGAAGAAATAAAAAATCTAAATAGCCTTAAAACAAGTAAAGTGACTGAATTAGTAATTAAAAAACATCTCACAAGCCCAGATGCTTCAGAATAGAATTCTGCCAGATGTTTAAAGGAGAATAAACCCAGCCCTTGAAAACTCTTCCCAAAAATACTAGCAGGATATGGCCTGTATGGCCTGTCTTATTGAGAAAAATATTAGTCTGATAAAAAGCAGAGACATCTCAAAAAAAAAAAAACAAAACCTACAGGCCAATATCCCTTATGAATAAAAATGCAAAATTCCTCACAATACTAACAAACCTGATCCATTGACATAAATAAAAAGGATTCCATATCACCAAATAGGATTTATCCCAGGGATGTAAACATAATTTAACCCAAATGTAAATCAATCAAGACAACTCAATAAGGGAAAATTATTTTTAAGAAGTGATGTTGAGGGCCTCCCTGGTGGCGCAAGGGGTAAGCACCATGCTATGAAGCAATCCGCAGCTTCTGCAGCACAAGTTTGATCCCCGGCCAGGGAGCAACCCACAATGCGCAACAGAGCTCTCCTGACTCTCCCGCTCCTCCCCTTAGCAGTGTACTTCTGTCAGTCTGCCTGTTCTGCCCCCCGCTTTTTTCTGGTGAATCCTCTCACCGCCCCCCCCCCCCCCGCATCTCTGGCCTGTACCCCAGCTCTTGTATGCATAAATAAATAAATCTTAAAAAAAAAGAAGTGATATTGAGACAACTGGATATAAATATGCATAAAAATGAATTTGGACCTCTGCCTCACACCGTATATAAAAATTATTTAAAAATGGATCATTAACCTGAGAATCACTACTATATAACTCATAGAAGAAAACATAGGAATAAATTTTTGTGGTCTTACATTAGGCAATGGTTTCTGAGACTTGGCACCAAAAGCATAACAAAAACAGAAAACTAAATTTGACATCATAAAAAATTATTTGATTTTTGATTTAAAGGATACCATCAAGAAAGTTCATGAAGAGTACCTACAGAATAGGAAAAAATATTTGCAACTCATGTATCAATATAAAACTAATATTCAGAATATATAAAGAATAAATATCCAGAAGATATTCTGGACTAATATAGACAGAATATTTACTATAACTCAACATAAAGTAAATAATCTAACTTTAAAATGGGCAAAGTTTATGTATAAGTATTTCCTTAAAGAAGTGCCAATGAGCAGTAATCACCAGAAGTATCTTTAGTCATTTGCATTATAAATGCAAATCAAAGCTACAATGAGATAACACTTCAGACTAAGGTAGTTATAATCAAAAGGACTGACAATAGTGCTTGCAAAAATGTAGAGAAACTGGAACTTACACACATTGCTGACTGGATTGTGAAATGATGCAGTTACTTTGTAAAACAGCCTGGAAGCTCCTCAAAGAATGGAGTGAAGAGTTACAAATGACTTAATTTCATCACAGGGTATCTACCTAAGAAAATTGAAAAATTATGCTCACATAAAAACCTGCATAAAAATGTTCATTAAAGCTTTATTCACAATAGCAAAAGCAGAAACAATGTAAATGTCCATCTACTGTTGAGTGCATAAATTGTGCTACATCCAGACAGTGGAATATTCTTCAGTACTGAAAAGAAATTAGAAATCAAGTCAAGACAATACATAGAGGAACCTTTAAAAATGCAAGTGACTGAGTGAAAGAAGTCACCCTAAAGTTAAAATCACATTCTAAATGATGACAACTACATGACATTCTGGAGACATTAAATTATGGAGACGGTGAAAAAGATAAGTGGTTGGGGAAAAAGAATAGATGGATCACAGTGAAAATACTGTGAATGATTCTATAATGATGGCTCCATGTCATTAGACATTTGTCTAATCGAGAATGAACCATCGTCATGCTAGTTTTGACATCGCATGTACTAAAATTGAAACAATACAGAAGAGATTAGCTTGGCGCCAGCACAAGGCTGACATGAAAATTCACATTCTCTCTCTTTTTTTTTTTTTTTGGTGATTGGATGCTGAGATTCTTTTGGTTTTCTACATTATTAAATATGTCTGAGAGGTCAAAAAAGAACCATAAGGTAAGGTATGGACTTAGCATGATTTTGATATGTCAATGTAGGTTCATCAGTTGTGATAAATATACCTGTCTGGTGGAGGATGTTGATAATGGGGCAAACTGTGCATGTGTTGGGATCAGGAAGCCTGAAGAGCTCATCTCAGGGCCTCATCTGCTCAATTCTTCTATGAACCTAAAACTGCTCTAAAAATTAGTCTTAAAAGATGAAGAAAGAAGTACTGATACATACTGTGGCATGAGTAGACCTTGAAAGCATCTGAATGAAAGAAGCCAGACCCAAAAGGCTACATATTTTGTGATTCTGTTTATATGGAATACCCAGAATAGGGAAATTCAGAGATGGAATGTAGACTACTGGTTGCAAGAGGCTGTGGAACAGGAGCAATAGGGACAGCCCAAGGGTATGGGGTATCTTTTGGGGTGATGAAAATGTTCTGAATTGATTGTGGTAAGCATGTCACAACACAGTGTACTAAAACAAAAAACAGAGAACAAAAAACACTGAGCTGTGTACTTTAAAAGGGTGAATTGTATAATACATAAATTCAGTCTCATTAAAGCTGTTATCAAAGAACAATTCCTTTGTCAGACTGGTTTGGAGAGGTCCTTAGCAAAGCTGTTAAATAAGATGAATTGGCATCTGGCAGATAAAGTGCACATAGAAGGTCCTTCTAACATGCATGCGTTATCTAAACACGATTCCTTTTGTAGATGTTTTTGAGCATCCTCTATGTGCAGACAGGCAGAGCAAGGTCACTTTGGGAGATGAGAGCAAGCAACTATCAATGCTGTGCTTAAAATATTCAGTTTGATTAAAGCTTTTACTCAAGCATTTTAAATACTTTCAGTTATGTTTGTTGTTTACTAGAGCATCACCCTATATCTCTCATATGCTCACTGCTCTGTCCTGCCACCAGCGTATGAAGACTTCCAATATCTCCTGCTGGATGACTACAATGGTCCCTAATTGGTTTCCCTACTCTTCCCTGGCCCCTTCCAATCCTTTCTGTACTATAGTCCAGTGAATCTATTATCAGATGAATCTTTTCTTTTTTTTTTTTTTTTTTAATAGAGGCATGTTTTATTTATTTATTTATTTGTTTGTTTGTTTGTTTTTGTTTATACATGCACTGGGTACAGTCAGAAGTGCGGGAGGGTGAGAGAATTCACCAGAGCCAGAGCCGGGAGCAGAGCAGGCAGAAGGACCAAAGTACACTGCTGAGGGGAGCAGCGGGCGGCAGGAGAGGTCTGCGCGCCATGTGGGACCCTCCTCCGGTGGCCGGGGAGCAGCTGGGGATCGAACCGGCGCTTCCGAGGCCGCGGGCAACTTCGCAACCCAGCGCTCAACCGCTGCGCCACCGGGGAGGCCCAATTATCAGATGAATCTTTTCAAAGCAGATCCGTTGTGGTCAATCCTTTCTTCTTTTTTTTTTATAAATGAACTTTCATTGGTGTATTACTACTCTTAGGATAAAGACCAAAGGCCTCCTAGACTCCACATAGTCCAGTCCTTGTAGCCTCTCCAGTTTCCTTTTGTGCCCTGTTCTCTTTTGCTCTATACTCCAGCCACATTGACCACATTTAATTTCAGGGTCACTTCTACCCAAGACCTTTCCATATAGTCTTCTGTTTTCCTCTTCCTAGCTAGTCAGAGTCTACTCATTATTCAGATCTCAGCTTACATTTTCAGGGAATCTTCTGACCTCCTCTTCTAGGTCAAACAACCCCATTATAAATTATCATGATTACATATCATCTTACATTTGAATGAATTATTTCATTGTCCAGCATTGTTACTAATAAGAATTGATTATACTCTACTTCCTGTACTCTGTAGCTTTCCTGGAGGTAACAAGTAGACTATTTAGATTAATGGTGGATAGGATTCTTGATAGTTGAGCTAGATGGCCGGTTTAGAGGCAAAATTTAATCTTTGGATTGAAAATTTTGTATTGTAGTTAGACGATATCTTTCTGCCATATATGTGATCCAATGAGTTATGATATTGGCATTTCTAGGTAATTAAATAATACCATAGAGAGCTAGAGGTCATCCAGAGAAGGACATGGAGTATTTTTCAGTGGATAAAAGAAAGGAAAATGAGGTAATCTGCATATATTTGATAACTTATGACTGAAATTATTGTTCAGTTTGTAAAATCATGATGTCTATACAGATAGACCTATTAAGTCTCAAAGTAGTATTTTTTAATTGAGATATAATTGACAAATACCTTAAGTTAGTTTCAGGTGTACAGTGATAATTTAATATTGGGGAAATGATCACCACAAGAAGCCTAGGCAGCATCTATAAAACATTAATATCAATGGCAATCAAGGAAAGATGAAAAGGCATTTTAAGACCAAAAAACAGGTGTGGCTCTGCACCTACGGGGGGTGTGTTTCTCTATAGGCTAAATGGTTTACCTGCTTTCGTAGAGACCTATTCATAATTGTGTTGGGAGGCAGAGGATGTCTGGGATATGTATTAAATATCCATGACTGTAACAAATTACACTAAAACTTACTGGTTTAAATCAGTAAACATCACAATTTCTGTGTCAAGAATATGGAAAATTGGGTCCTCTGGAGCTTAGTCTGACAAAGCTGCAGTCATCACAAGGGCTGATCTGCTTCTAAGCTCATTTCTGGTGTTGGCAAGACTCAGTTCCTGATGGACTTTTGGATTGAGGACCTCAGTTCCTTGCTTCTGTTGGTCAGTCTTTCCTCAGTTCCTAGACACATGGGTGCCTCTGTCAGGAAGCTTACAATATGGCCCTGGCTTCCATCAGTGAGTGAGAGCAAGAAAGGACAAGTTAAGATGGAAGTCAGTCTTTCAGTAACCTATTCTCAGAAGCATGTCCCATAGTTAGCTGTATTTTATTTATAAGAATCAAGTTACTAAACCAGCCTGTGCTCAAGGGGAGAGAATTACACAAGGGCATGAATTCAAGACAGGGATTGCTGGGATGACATCTTATGCATGGCTTTCTATGGGTGTGTCCATTTTCTTTTGAAATTGACCCCAGCAAAGGTACTTGGGTGGGAGAAATCTTTATTACTGTCAGAAACCAGATCAGGAATTGTAGGCTGACTTGGTCTAAATGATTATAGTATTAAGGTTATTTATGCTTTGATGTTTTTTTTTTTTTTAATTGTGAGGTATTTGAAACTAAGCTTTTCATTCCTCTACCATTTCAAATAATACTGAATGAACTTTTAAGTTTTCATTTCAGGCAAGCCCTAAAACCTAACTTTATAGCTTCTTTGCTGTGGGAGTTTTGCTGAAATGGGCTGTGCAGACAAGTCTGCTACTCATAAAGGCTTTGAAAGGGTCTCTCTGATGCCAGAAATCCCACTGTTTAAATTTAAAGGAGTAACTTTTTCCAAAAAATGAATACTGCTGAGATTTCATATTAATCTTGATAAAATATATTTGAATAATTAAAATGAGTCTATTTTAAAAACTTCAGTTATTTTGTGTTTTCAGACAATTGGAAAAATTGAAGTTGGAGAGTTCTTTTTGGAAAAACTCAGGGTTGAAGAAGGGACTCCAACTGGATTTATTAGGAAGGTCAGGGAACAGCAAAGGAAATCTTGGCAAGAGATGCAGAGGGAGTTTGCAAACTGAGTTGAGCAAGTAGTTATGAATGAGCCTACTATTGTATTTCCCAAGGAAAGTTCCTGTAATATAATATTCCTTTTTTTAAGGAACAAGAAAATGCATACAAATCATTTGCTGTGCTTACTTTTTCTGTCCTACCTCTGAAAATAAACAAAGCTAAAAAGCCTTCCCTTGGTGATGGGCTTGTTTAGAAATATTATCTTCAAAGAACTATTTATGTGAGCCAAGCTGTTCTCTGTATTAGTGAGTCTGGGACAGTTTTGTATGTGCCCTGGAAAGGAAACAAAACACGGGTGTGATTTCTTTTGTGTCAGTACTTACAACTCAGATTCCAAAAGGACACCTCATTGATTAGATCAAATCTCAAGCCCCAGCCTTCCCTAGTAAGTTAGATAATCAGGTTGGAAAGGAGAATGCTTCAGATGTTTAAGCAAATGAGTGTTGGTTTGCTTAACACTGAATATTTGTTATTATTTCAAGAAAAAGAATCTTACAACTGGGGAATTCTTCTGGATTTCTTGCACATGCTTGGACCTCACTGTCTTTATTCCTAAGGTTCTGCCCAGGGTGAGCGCTCCTAAGCGATGGCTAATGCACACTTGGAATTTGGAGGGAAATATCTTTCCCAGTAATCAACCCATTAAGGGACCCATTGCTCTAGATAAAATGTTAATGAAGTTTTAAGGAATTCTTAATTGCCTTTTCAAAGCACAAATAGTTTTCATTTTTCTCTAGTGGCTCTGCCTTTCCCCTTTTGCTCCTTGTTCTCTTGCCGGTGACCCGCTCTGCTGTCTGGGATAAAGCAGGGCTGCTCCAGCAATGGCTGGCAGGCTGTTGGGGAAGGGGGTACAGCAGAGCTGAGAATGGCTATTTCTTCAGTCTGGCTCCTGTGTGAGGGGAAGGTCTTCCTCTGCAGTCACCTTTCTGGGGCTATTTCCCCACTACATCCCTTCAGGAACCATGGGACAGCAGGTCCAGAACTTTTCTTTTGGCAGACAGGTCTTGTCACAAGGTGACCCACAGCAAAGGCAGGGAGAGACAGTGACTTGAGAGAATGGGGTCTTCCTGGGCTGCTTAAGGGTGAGACCCCACCTTAGGAGTGTCTCCATGCACAAGAAAGACCTGGTACCAGCCTGCCAGATCATGGTGCTTGTAACTGGGACCTCAGGAGAGACATTGGTGCTGAGGTCCCGCTGGGCAACGTGGAAGGGAAAGAATAAGGATGTAAAGAGAGAAACTGCAGGGGACTGGATTTGGGGAACAGAGGACACTGAGAGATCAGATGCTTTGGGGC